ACTCAAACAAAGAATCTTATTCTCAAGAGAATGACGTGTGGTTTGAAACTGATTGGAAAAGTTAGGTAAGTTGGTCTATTGAGCAGAAAATTTTGATTTTAAGTGGAACGCGAATATCAAAACAGGTAACCAACGAATAAACTAAAATAAACTAAAAATTATAAAGTAAACTGGTTAACGATAAAATAACTACAAGTTGCTCTTTAGATTTTTAAAATGGATTTGGGACTCCTGTGGTTTTAGGAAGGCGGAGGGACTGTACATGCACAGGTAGCCCGCGCCTTTAGATGGCATGACATGGAAAAACACAGCAACTACTGGGAACTGAAATAGATGGGAAAACCTAGACTTTATCTACACTTCTATTGATTTATTCTTGGATAAAAAAGTATTATTTCCTTTCTCGGAAGTTTGCCAACCTTATCAGAACAGAACTCTTCAGCCTGGGTGTAATGTTTTCCCATTTCAGACCACGTTATTCCCTTGAGTATCATCTCTTTGCTTAGCGGTTGTGCATGAGAAGACACATGAATAGTACATAAGCATGAATCAAACGAAGAATCTTCTTCTCAAGAGGATAATTGACATGTGATTTGAAATGAGAAAACATTATTCCACGGTGAAACTGGATCTATTAACAAAAGAAACATTTTAAAAATATAAAAATACTTTAGTCGTAAATTTGATTTGTAAGCTTCGTGATAATTCAAATCTAACTCTACAAAAGTCGTCATGTTAAAGGTCTTAACAAATTATTTCTATAGTGAAAAACAATTGACTTTTTGGCAGGAATACAGACGAGTCCGCGCCACAAACCATGTTCGGGAACCCGTGGGTAAAATTCGCTTGTTTCTTGCTGGGTTCCCAACTTAACGCATGCGCAAACATTCCTTCATGGTGTCTCATCTGCCCGCCTTTCCCGCCCTTTCCGCACACGTGTCTCGTCACCACAGGCTACCCAAGTTGCAATTTTATACGAAAGTAACTACAGTAACTAATACTTTTTCGTCTCGAGAAGGTGAATTGATTGTGTCTGGGCTTTTGAGGTATCCGGCCTTTTTAACCTCACATTCCAAGGTATTGTTCATTTTTTCTTTGATTCTTTTCAATAGAGGAAACTAGTATGATCCAGAGACTGCGTGCAGTTAGACGAACCATGACGTAGGTTACTGATATAACACTCTAATGAACTGACCTTTAACTACAAAACTCATCAGTGTGGTTGAAATATCATTACACGAGATCAGAGGCTGAAGTAAATTAACGAATTTCTCAGGTGTTCCAATAAATCGATGAGAAATGATAAATCATTCGGCTGACCACGTGCCAGCATTTGACAGGGTTTCCAAGCCACCGGTTGAACTTTATTGTATTTCTGAAAAGGGCAGAACAATTACAGAATATTTTGAGACAACGATCGACCTTCATTAGCATTGTGTTCGACCATTTAGGACTTTGAGCATCAAAAAAGGAGCCAGTCAGAAAATAGGAAGATAAGAAATAAAGCTTGGACAAGACTTGGTTGCAAGGAAAAGTTTTTCGTTGGCGTTCTTTTTTATCAGAAAGAAAATCCTTGGAGAAACATGGTACCATATAAGCCGAAGTACTTGCAGACACAGGAATACTCTATACTTGGCGACGACAAGTGGTGTTTCCAGAGACAATGCAGGCACTAGCAAATAACTAGAAGAGCTAAGTAAGGTGTATTCTTCATGAATCAAATCCCTCGAGTTATAAATAACAATGAAGAAGCCGCCATGTTCGTTGATGTAATAAGGCAAGTTAATGAGGAATACTTTGTTATCGTCAACCAACATGGCGGCTATGACGTAACATGCACCCTAAGAATAGGAGGATAACAATGAAACAGCCGCCATGTTGGTTGATCTAACAAGAGAAGATAATGGGGAATGCTTTGTTATCGTCAACCAACATGGCGGCTATGACGTAATATGCATCCCAAGAATTTTCAGTGCAATCATGGACCTAATGCATGTACGTTCTTTCAAAAAGTAAATAACAAAAATTAACAGGCAGCCTCTTCGGTGTAAGCTTCTATGACCAGTCTAAACATACCATTTCTTCGATTTTGGCTTTATTTCTTAAATTTCTAAATAGATTTATGCAAGCAACGATAACGTCTATAAACCTGATACGAAATTCATTTGACTAAGTCAAAATTGTTTGAGGAAATTCAAGCTTTTTCAACTGTTTTTGTCTGGCCTCCTTTTAAGGAGCTGTCCTTTTTAACCTCACATTCCAGGGAATTGCCAATCTATTTATATAAATGTTTATTCTACTTTTAATTCTTTTCAATAGAAGAAACCATAAATCACTCGAGTAATCCAGAGTCTACGTGTGCAGTTAGACGAACATGACGTAGTTGCTGTACGGGTGCATATAAATACTGATATAACACTCTAATGAACTGACCTTTAACTACAAAACTCATCTGAGTGTGGTTGAAATATCATTACACGAGATCAGAGGCTGAAGTAAATTAACAAATTTCTCAGGTGTTCCAATAAATCGATGAGAAATGATAAATCATTCGGTTGACCACGTGCCAGCATTTGACAGGRTTTCCAAGCCACCGGTTGAACTTTATTGTATTTCATGGAAAGAGCAAGAATTCAGACCAATCATATATACAGAATACTTGAAGATACTTGAAAGTGCTTCATATGATAGAGACAATTGAAGGTATATAAATCTATCTATCTATTTTTCTGAAACATAAAACACGTGTTAATATGTATTTTAGGGCGTTTTTTCATCTCTTTATCTTGTACAGTATTTTTATAATATTTGTTCTGACGAAGACGACCTTGCCGACATGTAATACTGAATTTTTAGGATCAGTCAGAAGTTGACTGTTTTCTCTCTTTCTATTGTATGCATTTTTAAAGTATATACATAATTCCAATAAGTGTATATACATAATCTTTTCTCTATATAAAAATGGCACCATGGGAGAGTTCTATGCATAGAATAGCTCCTTGCATTGTATTGTTATCACGTGTTATGGCGTTATTACAGATGCATTGTGGGCAATAAACTCGAAATTCAATTTTATCCTCAGTAAAAAATTTAAACTTTTATTAAAATTTCCGAATACTATATATCCAATCCCTCTTTACTACTTGAATCATCTGGTGAATGAAGCCGGATTATTGTTAACACAAACACGATTATTGATAATTATCTCTCTAAATTTTCGGTTTGGCAAACATTGTGTCAAGGTGTCCAACTTCTACATGAAGGAATTATAGCTTCAACGTAAATTTAATTGAACTCAAATAAAGATAGTTCTCATTGATATAAAATAGTCTCGTTAATAATATTCTACAGTTTACTCCAAGCTATATAATTAGTGCACATGAGCTAAAATCCACAGGGCTTAATCTTCACAGCTTAAAAGTGAAAAGTAAGACTTTGATCCTGGGTTAATTTCATGGGAAACACTAGACAGAATGATCATCGCGCGTTGTGATTTCTTCGGTCTCAGTACAAACGGCAAACATCCTAGACTGACATTTCATAATTTCCCTTCATTCCACTTTACCTTTTTGCAAATATTCACACCAAGGCAAGTATTCTTTTATTAATCTTTTATCAATTATTACCTACGTGGAAATGTTTTTCAATAATTCTTTTTCACTAACCCTGAAGAACGATTTGCTTGTTCAATGTCTTTTTAATTTTCCTTGAAGGAGAAGCTTAAATTTTCTATTATCTTGCCATTGCACACAGAAATATTTCCACGTACAATATTTAAACTCAAATTCTAAAGAACTTAACTTGATAGTCTTTAGCAATAATTATCCAGTATTTTAAGTGAGCGTGATGCTGGAGTTGTGAGTATGCTGTGGTTTGATACCATACGTTTCTTCAATGTTCAAATTTTCACAAGGACTTTCTTCATCCCGCTCGGCCAGGTACCACAAACCTGAAATACAGATTAAAAAGTTAACTTCAATTTGTAGCAAAAGTCCTTTTCCAATTCAATCTCTATTTTGACTTCTCTTACTTTTATTTACAATGGAAACTTAATTTTTAAAACTTTCCTGAATGACTCCCTCAACGCTGCCTGGCAAATCGTTCTAAAAGGCGACCGCACTCTCTATTCTTACACAATAAATAACACAAAAATATACAAAAGCATTAATCAGTTTTTAACTCATACGTTCGTCGGTCAACTCAGCCATGAAAATAAAACTCGTCGCGTCGTAGTTTATTTTCATGAGCATATGATTTGATTTTAACTCCTCGAAATTTTCCAGGCGAAAAAATGCAAAGTATCCTTGATCTGATTAGGTTAACGTTTTGCCTCTTATAGCATACATTATCTATTATATATCCATTACAAAACCCTTGTATTACGGCTTTGGCATATAACTATATCATAAACTGTTAAACTATGCTAAGTTTTGTTTACTGGGCTTCATTTCGAGTAAGAGACAGTTCAAGGACTTCCGAAAAAAATACATCAACAATGAAACAAAAACAGCTCAAGAATTCAAGTTTAGAAAGTAATGGTTGTAAAGTGGTCTTGATAGTTGCGTCAAATAAGTCGTCTTATCACGTACGCTTTTTAGTCTTTAAAGTTTTGCCAAAAAATTTAGCTTCGTCCAGAAAAAAAAAATCATATATCTCCCCAAAAGTTGGTATTGATGCAATTTTTTTTAATTTGTAGACATATTTAGAAAWAGATATTTCAACGCTGCAAAATATTTTTGCCTCAGGCTTGTATCGAGGTAAGGTTTCTCGTTAAGTATAATGCGGTCATTTGGCTTTGGGTCATAAGAGAGCTTGTGATGGATCAGTAGGTAGCCGATCTACTACAGTAATAATCTTCTAAACCCGGACAATATAGTGGCGTCCGCTTAGTAAAGATCATAGCTTTACATAAAAGTAAAAAACGATGTCTGGGGGTCTGAAGTGTTGAAGAGGTATTACCAAGTAAGAGATACGTTAAAAGTTCACAAAAATGATCATCTGAATATAACTTTTCCTTAATTTGGTTGTTCATTTAGCAAATAGTAAGATATTTTCACAAGACGATAGTAAATTCCTTTGCATAGAGAGTGTATAACCTGCTTTATATGGTGTGCAAACGAAACTACTGCCAAATCGAGCGAAATCCTCACTTTAGTTCAAATAGACTGTTGTTTTTCTGAGTTTTTTTCAACTCATCCATTCTCTCCCGAATTTTTCCTTACGTTTAAGAATACTGCTTCTAGGAATGAGCGCCCAAATGTACCAACTAAGCTCCGACTTAGACTTATAGGTTTTTCACTAAGACTTATTCATAAGGTCTTTGTTGAGACTGCAATTACTTTTTCGCTAGCAAATGTGCATCTAGAGATATGTTTGCACTTGGTATTTAGAGTCAAGAAGGTTATTAGTTTATGTATAATGGCGTACTCTAGACAATAAGTGTACTATTTCCCGGGATAAATGCTTTGTACTTTAGACATTATGTACAATGTTTAGCTAGTCTCACCTTGTTCGAATATAAAACTGTCTGGAGAACTTCCCGAGTCGAAGTCAGTAGGAAGGCTTGAACTCTCAGCAGGCGAAGACTGTGATTCGCTGTGTTCGTCTCTCTCGACTCTTAGTTTCTTTTTCTTAGTTTCATCTTCATCGTCGTCTGTTTCACAAGAATCTTGCTGGTCAATCGGTTTCCCAAGGATCCGAGAAAGGGCTCCAATATAATGAATAGCTAGTCTCAGAGTAGCTATCTTCGAGAGTTTCTCTTCACCTGAATCGTTCGTCTTGGGAATAACTTTACGTAGCTCATCGAAGCTATCGTTCAGGCTGTGCATTCGACTACGTTCCCTGGCTGTTGCACACTCTCTATTGGACCGTAAATGGACGTACTTACGATGACGAGCTGTGCTCTTAAAGCAGTAATCACACCAATCGTCTTCCTCCTCTTGAGAAGCCAGTTCAGCTAATTTTGACCGAGATTCGAGCGACACCGGTCTCAAATGGTAGCGTTTTCGTCCGTTGTTTGCGTCGCTTGGATTTAGGACTTTTTTCCCCCTTCCTTTGCCTGTTTTGGAACTCCTAGAAGCCATATTTGACCCAACAAGTACTTCACATTGTTAAACCTGTACTTAGCCCGTATCATGCATTCTTCAGCTTGTCTAAGCTCCGCCCAACCAATCAGTGTTCATTAAAGGGTTTCCTGCATGTCATAATGTTAGGTCATGCTCATATCATCAACAGCCAATCACAGACGTAAGATAGCGATCAATGGCAAATGTCAACCGGCTCGTATCTCCTGCGACAATATTCTTAATACTACGAGACAGCATCGGGTGTTGTAAGAACAACTCATTACACTCCATCACGATGAATTGTAAACATTTCTTGTTTGTTTTGGGATAACAACTCGCCGACAGGGCTGCGAGATATTTGGTAGTTCGTGATTCGGTATTTCTTGTGGCGAGACCCCTAGAATTTGTCTACTCATCTTTCCTAACGAGTTTACCCCAAAGACTTAATCAAGGAATCGCTAACCTGAGATATCGACAGCCAAGTGAAGTCAAGAAATTAAATAAAGGTTATTTTTTTCGACAGGTTTAAAGATATGGAGCAGGTCAGGCGTGGTGGTAAGTAGCGATAAAATCCAGGTCAACAAACGTTCTCACATTCCCATCGCGTTGAGCGCCACACTCAATAAAACTGTCAAATGTTAAACAAAACGCTTCTTGGGGGAGCAAAAAAAGATGTTTAAATAGGCTTTACACCTTATTGACGCGAACAAAAAAGAGGAACGTACTTTGTACAATCTTGGACATTCGTTTATTGCTTATAATGGTTTAATTGTCTTTAGTTAATTGTTTTGATATGTCCGACTGACATTGAGATTTCTCTCTAGGACTTCGAACATTGTCCAGTCTTAATTGGGGTTAAACATAGCAGATCAGAAGCCTGTATTTTAAAGTGGGGCGCTCAATCTTAATACACATAAATAGTACTACGCGGTCAGTTCCAATTAGGGCGCTCAATCTGTGAGTGACACATATACAGAGTGCAAACCCTAAATCCTTGAAAAATTGAACTAACAAAATTGTACAAATTAGTGCAAAGTTTTGTAGGTCTACGGTCTACTGAGGTCTACTGAACTTGCTTATTTGTGCAAATTTGAGCAATTCCTTACAAAGCTTTTCACAGATATATGATATTTACTCTAGTTCTAATACCTCTTCTGAATGTCATGCAATTTGAAGAGCATTCGAATTCTTTTCAGACATTGGTTTTCTGTGCTAGAATAACTAGTTTTTTGCTGTTGTCGTTTTAGTCTTTATTCAATCCTTCACGCACTAAGTCACAACTCTTGTGTCTAAGTCACAACCGGTTTTGTTTATTAAGGAACCTCTTCAGCCACTGCCCGTGCAACGTTGATATACATCCATATTAATGAGTGTCTTCTCGCAACCGTTTAACAAATAAGATACTCTTGGGAATTACACGTGGCCTGAAATGGGAAAACGTTATGCCTAAGATAAAGAGAAAAGCTGATTTTAGGACGCACATGAGCACTAAGGATTTCTCTGGCCCTTTCCCAAATTTCTCTATTTAAAAATTCCCTTTATAGAAAGACCGTTTTTGATTTTTCTTTTCTTTATTGATTAATCAAAAATAACCGGAGACCATACTCCCAGACCCGAATGCTGAAGCGTCGTATGGCAGCGCAAAGCATTTACGGCTATGCCAGAGATTTCGACCCCAACACCGCTATCCCCGGGAGGACTTACAGACTGATCAGGAAGCTCGGCCGAAGCCTAAGGGAGAGGTTAGTCGGCCCCTAGACCGTAGATGATTAACCCCTTGCTATGACCAGCAAACCTAATATATCACTTGTGAGGTTGATGGTATGTACGCGTGATCACTTCTTTCCCATGTGGGATGCGTTTTGAAGCTGCGACGAATATATGTGCTTACACGCACGCTCAGTTTGGTATAAATCAAAATTAAAGTCTTGTTTTCTTATCCTTCAAGGAACATTGTCAGAAGGCATTTGACTTGACTAGACTTGCGCAAAGAGATAGGCAAATGTACACAAAAAGTGAGTAGGAAAATATTAACTGAGTCATAGATTTCAGAGAGTAAATTTGCGTAGTTGAAGTGACTTCTTTTCTTTCTTTGTTTGTTTSTTTCATTCATTCATTCATTCAGTCAGTCATCAGTCATTTTTCCTTCCTTCCTTCCTTCCATCCTTCCATTCATCCATCCTTCCTTCCTTTCTTCCTTCCTTCCTTCCTTTGTTTCTTTCTAGTTCTTTTCGTTTTTATTCTTATCTAATTTGGGCTTCCTGTGGTATATTCACTAATCAATATTGATGCAGTACCAATCTATTTCTAATTGTCCAAATCCAAACGGCCTAGTGTCATGCAGACAGAATGAAAGTTAATAGCCATTTGACAAACGCTCTAAGCCAACACAAGCACATTTTTTTGGCCAATCGTAATACTTGAAAATTTTTGCAATTTCTTAACTCTTTTTACAAAGTTTAAATAATCTTTATTTTGTCAACTGAACTTCCATGTTTAAGGTAAACGGGATGCTTAACTCTCTCAGTATTGTCTGTAGTCAGTGAACGTCTTATTTGAAGAGGCCACGAGTCGAGCTCGAGTGGCGTGACGAACGCGTCATTCATTGGCATCGCCGCGTCTCTCAAATAAATTTTTTTTTTTTCGAAATTCAGGTTAATCAGTGTGTGTATTAGGTAATTTGGCGCGTGATATGTAAGCGAATGACACGTGTTTATGCGGGTTGATAACGTGTAAATTCGTCAGTAGCGTTACCCATGAATCGTAGCGATGATCCGCGTACAAGAATCAACTCAAACAAGCCACCAGCTGAGTCAACAAAAAAATCATCCAAGCAACTGATAGCCAGTAAAGAAACTATAACCCTCTATATTCCTCTCTCACAAACTATTCGCCTGTGAACTTCAATTCATTCAGACACTAACAAATCCTATACGGCTAATTAACTCAAATCTGAAATCACCCTCCTGATGCATGGGGTACGAGCAGCCAAGTTTTGATGAGAAAATTTGTGCAAGCTTCAAAGATTAGCTTTATACTTGGTAATTTAGAATAGTAAATATAGACATAAATGAAAGTCGAAGAAAAAGTTTCATTTACGAAATATATTCGGATTAATTACCAAATGGTCTCTCAGAATTACAAATCTTAATAAGACAACCAAAGTGCACAGTTTTGCTTCTAAACTGAATCTCACTAAATTTTTACTAATTTTCTGAACTTTAACTGTTGTCCGGAAAAAAAAAAAATCTTATGAGAAACGTTTTTGAAATATTCACAACGAGAAAAACTCAGGTCAAAATCTAAATTTAATAATATATTTTTAAGTGCAAGGATCTGTTTAGAATCTTTGACAAGGAAAATGCAAACATCGAACCGTACTGTATACTAAACTATAAGAAATTAAAAACAGTAGTTTCCTTAGATCTAATTATCTTAAAACTAAATGTGCTTTAATAAGGCTTTTCTTTTAATTTTATTGAGCTATATTTTATAATTTTTTAACTTTCTTTTTTCCACAACAAATAAGATTTTTCAAGAAATTTTTTAAAGTGTTTTCGTTCATGAAATGGTGTACAATTTCTTAGCTTTCATTACAAGCGCCATAAGAAGAACTTTTCATTTTTCATCAAGCTAAAATCAATTAAGAAAAGAGAATTACTTCCGTACTTTAAATGGCGTTAAACTTTGTAATCTTCGAGTCATTTCGCGAATAACAGGCGAAGATAAGCTAAAAATATGAGGTAAATGTGTCATTTTGCCTCGTGGCTCTCTCAGCTTGACAGTTGAATTACAACTTTAAATGATTCCAAAGTGGTTCACAGTTTTCTAGACTGAGTTATCAGGATTATAGAAATTAAAGCTGTCGAGAATTTTGAAACGTTTGGGATTTGAATAAGGAAAAGGTTTGAGGAAGAAAAGATATATATTTATATTTCTAAGAGATGTTCTTTGGAAGAATGTTGTAACATGTGTCACGAATGCTAATGTAAAGAAAATCTTTGAGCCAATCAGAAACGAGTTTTTGCTTGCACAATAACACAATCATCTTCAGTGCAAATTACAGTGTACAAAGTACTTACAAGGCTAAGCACCTGTTAGACACCAGTAAAAATACACCACACTATCGATCAATACGTACGTGGCCTCGGTTGTATTGATCTGTAATAGCCCCATCATTGCCTGACTTCCTTCTGAGCAGCTGCTCGCGAGACCAAACTAACAAGACCAAACCCCGATGATTTAATAAATATTTAAGCTTAAATATCACAACAAAACGCAAAACAGGACTCATGGTTTTGTATAAGTCAAAAGAAAGTTCTAAACCTGGTAGTGTTTTGAGAATGAAGACAAAAAGAGACGAATAGCACACCTGTCTTACTAGTTTGAGCGCGCGGTTTTCGCCTAAACGAGCTCTGAGACATTTGTCATGTCACGCTTTGACCACTGCATATAATCGGTTAAAGGTGGTCTTTTTATTGAACGATCTCTAAGAGGGTTGATAAACAATCCACTGGGCTTTTGTTCGATCTGAGCAGGTGTTGGCTTTTCATGCTAATTTGCTTTTACATTTGACAGAAAGGCTCCGCGATCAAAGGGTTGATGGGAGCTCGCTTATGTATCGTATCATGAATTAGATTTAACCAGGTGTTTAGAGCCATCTTGAATACAATCTTACTCGGCCAAACAACAAGAGATACAGTCGTCCACAAGCTCTTCTTTTTAAGAAAGAAGAGAACAAGCCGGATCAGACACATCTCTGAGCTGTTCACGGGAGAAGTCGCACGGGGACTCGAAGTAGAGAGAGAAAATTTGGGACAAGACTGAAAATATGTGCGATTCACCTCTACCTATTCCAATGTACCATACCACTGCTTATACGAGTTTTACGAGGTCACTAGAAGCTCAGAAAGCTCACATCAGCTCTGAAACTCGCAACACACCTGGAGAAAAAAATCCCATCAAACGAGAGACAAAAATAACTACGGCACCAACTGACAGCGGATCAAAGAAAACTAAAAATGACTCACAAAATGGGAGAAAGAGAAGAGAGAAAAGTAAAAAAGGGATTTCATGGAGGCACTCAAGTAGATCCAGACGTCTTATTGCCAACGCTAGGGAACGTTCACGAATCCACATTATGAGCGAGGCATTTGATTCTTTGAGACGAGCAGTGCCTAGTTATTCACATGATCAAAAACTTTCAAAGCTGGCCATTTTGAGACTTGCAACCAGTTATATTTCAGCATTGGCTCATTTAAAGCATTTGGCGGAGAATGATTCTTCGGGAAATTCTTTGCAGCTCTTTGCGGATTGTGTTGATCAGTGTACTCGAGCTTTACAGACGGAAGGAAGGGCGAAAAGAAAAGAGTAAGTGCGGAAAGTTACATTGACAAAAATTTCTGTCGTCTTAAATTTTCTACAGGCTAAAAAGAAAGTCAAAAGTCAAGCGCGCGCTTGGAAAATCTTGACAAAATTTTGCCCCACGAATTTGCAACAAAAAATACTTTGCAATTGTACGAAAATCAATTTTAAATGTTATATATCATCCCAAAAATTTCTAAAGAAACTAAATAAACTAGCAAATTATTTGTAAATGAAGAAAAATAACAATAGCGGCTAGCGAGAAAGGTCTTTAGAATGTAATATTTTTGCTATGTATAAACTTAGTCTTACGGTAAACATTGATCAAGTCTGGTTGAAATGTAATTTAAAAAGTCATTTTTGAAGGGTATTTTTGGGTTGTTTCGCTGAAGGTTACAGAGAATTTGAATTTAGTTTTGAAATAAAAAAAGTACTTTTTGACGACTGACAAACCAAACGGAATGGAAGAGTAAAAAGCGCCATCTACTCAAAGCCGGGATGATATTATCAATTTGGGTTTTAAATCCAAAAATGTAYATATTAGAATGAGTGATTAATCTAGCGGCGAGAAGAGTTTTTGATTTGGACACCAAAAAAAGCCCGTCTAGATGGAGTTTTTATTTCATTTTAATTAGGTCGGGAAAAAAAGGGAAAAAACCCTGAGAATGACCTGGCTGTCGGCGGGAGGTCTCTCGACTTTTCTTAATTTTGAGTTGTATTTACAAACGAAAGAAAAATTGAAAGAAAAAAAATGAACTTGAATAATATCATCGATCATAGAAAGACACCTGGAATGAACTCTGAAGATCCATAACATTTGTGTATATTAAGAAGTGATGACGAACCAATCAGAGCTGTTCTATCTACAACACAAAGCCGTACAGCTGGACAACGTAAAGAATTGCAAAAAATAATTTTACTGATAAAAAAAGCGTTTTCAAAAGCATTTTAAAAACAAAAATAAAGATATTCTACATCGTTATTTTTTTCTCTCTTAAGTTTTTTTCATTGATTTGGCTAGAATTTTGCTTCCAGCCCGTTGCCATAGCTATGGTTAGTTTATAAGTTCATGTTTGATCATCACTTCACTCATAGACAGTTGTTGTCTTAAAGTTTATTGAATAAGAGAATGTCTAATAACAATGAACTAAAAAATCTCGGTATATTAACGAAGTCAATGCAATCGTGCTTTTGCTCAATGGGAAACAATGAACGTTCCAAATACTTATTTTCTTCTTCTTTCTATTTGTAGTGTTGTTTGTTCTCACTTCTTCTTCTCCTAGTCCATATTCTTTTCTTTCTCTTGTTATTTTAGGTCGTTCAAATGCTGGGCGGGGAAAATACTTACGATTTTCTTTCCTTTTTCTTGTTCTTCTTTCGAAAAAGATATTTTTTGTAAGATTTTTCCTCGTTATATTGTGACTGACTGTTTGTTTGTCTCAGGTGCCGATTCGACGGTTAATCTCCGGGTTCTCTTGAGCTGTGAGTTAACCGTGCCCTGACTAGATGCACTTTCCATCAGGTCTAACCTACCAGTCCGAGCGGCTAGTTCGCAAATGGTATGCGTCAGTTCTTTAGAGCTGGTTAGCCAAGGTCTCAAAACTAATGAGAACTAACGCGTACCATTTGAGAACAGGCAACTTGGACTGGTAGGTTAGACCTGATGGAAAGCGCCCTTAGATCCGCCCAGAGGTTTTTTCAGGGTTCAATCTGTGAGTTAGCCGTGCCCTGACTTTGATCAGCCCAGAGATTGTTTCAGGGTTCTATCTGTGATTGTTAAAATTGGAAGGTCTCTATGTTTAGTAAACAAAGACCGATTTCTTACAACACTAGTTCGTATTTTCCTACGATTGTTATCACTAATATTATAATAGTTTTTTCCTTACATATTTGGGTTAAACTCGAAATCTTCTTGTGGTTTAAAAAAAAATTCTGGATAATATATTAGTTTTGCGGACAACAATTATTGATTCTGAATGCAATTTTATTAACGCATGTTATGAAGAACCAAAAATACCCTAAAAAGCTTTCTTTCTGTTTTTATTTGCTGTTAAATGTTTGCTCCCATAGCGAAAATCTAACTATAATTCTGAATAATTCATTAACTTATATTGCGCAATAATCAATACTGTGATTTTCTATTGCGCATTACAGTAATTAAATATCTACAATCGAATTGGCTTCCAGCACAACACTAGATGATGCTCTGACCCCTAAAGAGCGGTGGTGCTTGGAGTCGCAGGATCGTATCGAAGATTTTTCGATCGTTTTCTGTCGTTGTATGTAAGGCGCGCCTACGCGGAGCAATTTTCTCTGCGACTTGTGTCGCAACGGCATTGCGACGCAAGTTGCATGGAGCATTGCACGCGTGTAACCTACAGCGCAGTTTGAAAAATGCTGCAAGACAAGTTGCAGGAATCGTTGCGAGAAGTAGAATTCCTTTCTACTTTTAGCAACGACTGCGTCTCCGTTGTACCGAGTAGACCCTCTTGCAACTTGTCTCGCAACGCTGAAAATTGCTCCGTCTAACCGTGCATGTAACTGATTGTGTATGTACGTATCTGTTTCAGAGTGCCAAGGAAAACATTTAATGACAATGGAATGAGCTTATGAACATAAGAATTCGAAGATAAAATGATCGAAGAGGAATGGAAAAGGAAAATCATGTGAATAATAATAGGGTCTGAAACAAAGATCATATATACCTGATTCATACATTTTGCGTTTTGCGCTCATACTTTGCTGTTATCATAGCCGTCATGTTTGTTGAATGTAACGAATGATATTTCATTTGTATCTCTTGTTATATCATTCTACATAGTGGCGACCATGTCGTTTGTATTTTCATTCTTTTGGGAATGACGGCAAGTCTGTCATATTTGATCTATACAAATACGTATAGAGTATCGCACGGGTCAAATAAGATCCAAGAGTTCTCCAAAACTGTCCGAGTCGCTACCAAACTTTGAATCTCGGTATACGAGATCTAAAAGACCCAATTTGACACCAAAACTTCGCAAAATGTATAGTGATAGTTATTAGAGCTTATTAGAGATCGGTAATTTCCCCCTCAAAGCACGTTAAGAAGAGAAAATTAATATATAGCTGTACAAAAATAAATGTAATATATTTGTTAGGGGAGAATAATGATATATATATATAGTATAAATATAGAAGATTAGGTTTACGCATGCGTAAAGGCACAAGTTGCGCATGCGCGTAGAACTTGATACGGCTTGTGCGCACCCATTTTCTTGGTGTTTGATTGGTCGGAGAAAAGTAATTTTGAGAGCCAATGTACTGTGCGCATGTGCTTCGTGCCGAACCTATTCCACAGCATAGTACAGTTGCAATATTAGCTATTCCAAGGTCGAGGGAAAAACTGGATCGAGTTGGCATTGCTGTGTATTGTGGGTCTGCTTAGGGGACGAAATAGACGCTAACTTGTAAATATGTCCCTAAAACAGCCCCATAATGCATTGCAATGCCAACTCCTCAACCTCGCAAGGGCTAATATATGGTATAAATAAATGGTTTTAAATGGATGGTTTTTTGTTGTAGCTTACTGTTATTTCAAAAGACTAGAGTGTAAACAATTTATCCGTGAAACACTAATTACTAAATAGTACAAGATAGTGCTAGTTAAACAATAGAAAACAATGGAATTTGCATGAAATTGTGCTAGTTAGTATTACTAAAGTTTCACGGTTATATTGTTTGCACTCTACTAGCTCTAGCGAATAAGCCCAAAAAACGAAAAACAGACGTGGCGTGAACTTGACAATGATGTAACCTTATTATTAAGATTAGAATCAAAAAAATTTATAAAAAGAACTTGTTTTTACGAGGGAGAGAACTTAAAACAACAAAACCTGTGGCCCTCATTTTATGATCGAATTGGAATTTATAGAAGTTGATTTTTGAGGAGGGAGAAAAACCCTCGAAGCACAGGAGAGAACCAATTCTAGAAAATGTACTAAAGTAAAGGTATAAGTAGAGGCGCACTTCGATTGGTCAAAATGAAGTTATTATTTCCTCTGCGTGACCTAGCCGTTGCGTGACTTTTTTAGCCATTAAAAAGTTGCAGCACTAAATAAAGACATGACCTATTACGCATGCGTTAGCTTTTGACCGCTGACTTGTTATCAAAAAGCTGCAACACTAAATATTAACAAATGGCATCCTGCGCATGTGCTATGTTTTGACCGCTGACTTCTTTTCAAGGTGCTAAAGCTATTCTCTGTTCATCTAGAGGACAATTTTCTCCAAATACAAAATTCTTCACAGAAAACTGTTTCATTCCTAAAACCACATAACTAAAAGTGCTATCCCAAGTGGGTAGAAAGTAATCGCATTCAAGTAACATCAATTGATCCATCAAAAGATCTCGCAAAACATCCTGGAAATCCTTCCCATTGATATCCAAATGACGGGGTTTGATATCCAACGTTACTACGTTGCTAGGAAACTGTGACTGAGCCCGCAGTTTTAGATTTTTATCGTCAGCAGCTAAAAACCACGTGAATGTCTTTTTCCTCAAACTAATGAATTTCTTTTTTAAAGCGTTTTCTACTCTCTGAGCGCAAAGAAAAACACGTTCAGGAGTGCGCGTACGACGGCTTTTTTGATTGGTAGATCCCCAATGAAGGTCATTGGTTCTCACATGTATACCAATCATTGGCCGTTCTCTTGGTCCCATTCTTGACTTTTCTTTGCTAAACTCCTTCATTAAATACCTTGATTTTTTGAACAAAAATTTGACGGCACAGCCAATCATAGCGTAAGGATACGTCGTCAGAACCGGAGGAAGCTCAAGCTCTTTCGCGCGCTTTTTCAACTCGCGATTTCCCCATAAGCTTTCAGCAAAGTACCAGATGGCGTTCAGTTTCACGACTTGATGGTCGAATAGACTTCCCGGCTCCATTTCTTTGATCATATTCTTGATATTTGCTTCGYTACGTATCTTATATCTATCGTATCCACCGGGTTTGTAAGTTCCCCAGTGATGACTCCTGATACTCAGGCCTTCAAACTTCGATTCATCGTACGTCCAGTCGATTTGATTTGGCAGCAAGAATGTTTCAAACTTTTCTGGTCCACCCCAGTGTATCATAAAAACCCTTTCTAGTAAAATAGACAGGTAGAAGGTAGAGATTAGACCGACCATACGATTGCCGTACCCGCCGCAACCACCGTCGTGGCCTGGGCAGTAGAATACGAGGAATCGACGATTCTTATTGGTTGATTTTAAGCCGTCGGCGTGGAATTTCTTGTACCATTCGATCCATTTGCCGTCGCACTTGTAGGAGTTGTTTACAGTATGAAACTGGCTGTCTTGGAAACGATATGTCGTCTCTGGAGGAGCAAACCACAATAACTGATATTTTTATTGTTATAAATTGTCAATATAGTCATTGTCATTGTAGTTATTGTTATTGTTGCTGGTTTTTATCGTTCTTGTCGTGTTGTTATTGTTATTTCTGTAGCTTGTTATTGTTATATATTGTAATCGTAGTAATTGTTACTATCATTGTTTGTTTTACTGTTATCGTTGCCGGTGTTGTTATTGTTATTGTTGTTTTTTAGTTATCATTGTTATTGTTTTTTCCGTCACGGTTGATGGTTTGAAATCATTTCCGAGAGAGCCAAGAGCGGAGAAAAACATGGCGCCCTTGTTGGTGGTATAGACCCCTTGCAGTACGTGGGAATGCAGCTCTATTTGGAGGACATAACAATAGGTTTGCAGTTCCCATGAGATTGAAATTCTTTTGTTTTGTCCTCCAAATTGAGCTGTTTTGACGTCACATACAATGGGTCTATTGAAAAAGGAAGCTAACAAGATGGCGGCATGTAACGACTGTTCTCCTTCCTGTGGTTATTAGCCTGGCACCCTTAATCAGCCCTCCTGCATTTTGCGATTTATATTCTACCCATGCTCATTCACAAAAGGGCACCCTGGCCCCTTAATTGCACCAGCTGCATACAGTCTTGTCCAACACCCCTTGTATTTATAAAACTATCTTAAAAAGCAACCGCGCCTGTGTATCGAAGCGAGGACAACGATGACCTTGCAATGATAGAGACTTGTGAATAATTGTCCAAGGTATTAAAAAAGTTCTATATCATTGAAGGGTCACCGCCATTCTCTCTTCGATAGGGAACAGGCACGGTTGCCTTTCAATATGGCGCAGGGAACTGTAAAGGGGAATATTGGCCCGGGGGGGATACTCCCCTATATTCGCATCGGGTACGTGCCGCCAAACAGGGTATGGTTTTCAGCGATTCTACTCTGGAACAGGGTATATAAAATCGCGCTCGCTCTGGGACAGGGTATATGAAATCACGCTCTCTCGATCCTCTCTGGAACAGGATATCCATTTTCGCAATACCGGAACAGGGTATGAATTTCAGCGATTTTACTCTGGAACAGGGTCAGGGTTCAGTAGGCTCAGCGGCACATCCCTACCCTAAACGGGCAAGAGTACCCCCCCCCCCGGGAATATTGGTAGATACTGTCCCTTACCATTGCTCACATAAAGCACATGAAACACATACAGGCAGCCCTAACTTACGACCCCTGTACACTTAATAGATCTGTGCGATCCAAGATGGCGGCCGTATCGTCGAAGTAGTCCATAAACTTTTAAGGTGCTCTGCAATTCGTGTTCACTCCAGTTGCAGATCCAGGGGTGGTTCCGTGGGTGCCATGGAAAAACCCCCTCTAGTGAGATCTTGAGAAGCCAATCATGTTCTTTACACTCAGCAGAATGAAATTGGAACCCCACTTTTGTAAAGCCAATCTTACCAGCTTTTTCTGCCTGGCGGCCATTTTGAAACCCCCTTCGTTAATACCTGGATACGACACTGCACTCATTCCCCTTTCCCCTTTCCTCTTCAGCAAAGGCTTTTTGTGATTACTGCAATTTTCATATTTCAGCATCTGCGAGCTGCAAGCTGAAATTTGGTTTTTCGCTGCCGTCAGTCAAACCTAATCAGTCGGAACCTTTTGTATTTTTGACGCATGTTTATGAAAATAGACCCTTTTCAAGTTCCAAACTACCGCTGTGTTTCTTGATTACAAACTCATTTACTTAGGCTTGGCATCGATTCACGTCTTCCAGTCAAGGTCCGTCAAGTTTCAAAGTGCTTGTATTGTTGCAGTTGTGCATTCTTTACTTTACCGTTGGTATTTGTGAATATTTAAACACTGATGCGAGGCTAAGCCTGTGCAAATGAGTCTGTAATCAAGAAACACAGCGGTAATTTGGAATTCGAAAAGGTCGATTGCACCCGGGCTATTGCAGTAACGAAAATTATTCACGCGTGATGGTCACTGGCCTGATTATCATAATCATCGATATTAGATTATAAATTCAAATCTAAACAACATAAAATTTTAAAATACGAGCAAAACCTGGGACTTACTCGTCTCTTAATTCTTACTTACCCAAAAGTTGTTCATATAACTGTGGATTGGTGATAAATATCAGGATTACCAATAATACTACTCCGGTGGCGACAAGAAAGACTTTGATGTTAGCACGAACCATTCCCAAAACGAAAATTCACTTGTTTGTCTAGGGCCAGAACTTCATGTGAATCTTACCCTACAAGGAAATAAAATGGCTTTACTTAATACTCAAGTTGCTATTATTTCAAATGAATGAATGAGTCTAGAAGTTTATAACGTATGTAGTATTGAAATACTTTGTTTACTTACCCGAACTGTACTTCGGCCATTTTGTTTTACAAAAATATTGTATTTTGTGATTATCTAACATTCAAATCTGTTTTAAACAAATATCTCTATTATTTTTCAATATTTCAGCTTTTTACGACTTTTAAGCTCTTGTTTTCTCGTATTATTACAAAAAATAATCGCTCATCAAAAAGAGCAAGGTTGCTTGAAGCGTAAGTTTGGTGTTTTATGCGTGTCACGCGTCACATAACAACATAACGGTTTGGTATAAAATTAACATATTACGTAACAACGAGGTCAGGCGTTACGTCGTAACTTCTTCTCCAGGTTGCGTGCGCATTCAAATTTAAGGAATTGACGAGCCACGATACCAAAACACGAGCTTTATGATGATTATTATCATGCATTGCTATGATTTTTTTCCTATAAGAAATCTTAAAATAAACTATTCTCCTCTTTAAATATAAAACTGTCTTCTCAATTTTTTGTGGCCCGTCAAGTTGGATGCGCACGCAACCTTGAGAAAACGGTCTATTGGGCAATTTTAGATACGAGTTGAATCGCTAGCGCGATGAATAGAGTTTGTTAGGTCTCTCCCCTGATCAGTCCAGGGTTTTTTTTTCGGTTTTCTTCCCTCCGCCAAATCATTAGATATGTGAGTTAGCCCTGGGGCGTTTGAAGGTGGTGTTGCATGAAGTCCTGAAGCTGGGCCAGCATGGAATAATTTAAAATGAATTTCTCTCTCACATATTTTATTTCAGGAAATYTTATATGTAAAAAAAGCAATGGTTAAAAAATGGTTTATCAACGAATTTGGTGCATATTTAGTTTTTTACATTTCTCTATAACATTTTAAGCATTTGCACATCTCACTGTGCATTTCATAATTTCAACCGGTGAAATAAATTTTTCCTGTCAAAGTTTTCTTTAAGGATATGAAAACAATACCTCAATTATTGAGTACCTCAATTAAAGCCTGCATATATTCGTCTCGGCTAGTTTTCCGACACGCATCCCACATGGAAAGAAGTGAGAATGGAAACATAGTCATCAGCGATAGATGTGAAATGTTAGGTCTGCTGGTCATAGCAAGGGGCCAATCATCTACGGTCTAGGGACCGACTAACCTCTCCCTTAGGCTTCGGCCGAGCTTCCTGATCAGGCWGCAATTCCTCCCGGGGATAGCGGTGTCGGGGTCGAAATCTCTGGCATAGCCGTAAATGCTTCGCGCTGTCATACGTTGCTTCAGCATTCGGGTCTGCGAGTATGGTCTTCGGTTATTTTATACAAATATGAAAAAAAATCCTCAGAAAGTTTCTAGCCGAGGAAACTTGCAGTTATTATGGATGCATGCAAATGAGATAACAAGCATTGTATCGACCCGATAGCCTCACTTGTATGATTCTTAAAACAAAAGAATTTCTGATCTCATTGCGGGCTCAATTGTAATAACAGCTATTTGAGACCAGAGAAATTTCTAGTGCTTGTGTGCTTTTCTAAAAGATGCCTGTTAATAGTTTACTGAATTATATCATTAACTGTGACCAATGATCCATCATCATCTGTCAATCATCATACTGTGACCAATGATCCATCATCATCTGTCAATCGACATTAACTGTGACCAATGATCCATCATCATCTGTCAATCGACATTAACTGTGACTAATGATCCATCATCATCTGTCAATCATCATACTGTGACTAATGATCCATCATCATCTGTCAATCATCATACTGTGACTAATGATCCATCATCATCATCTGTCAATCATCATACTGACTAATGATCCATCATCATCTGTCAACCATCATACTGTGACTAATGATCCATCATCATCTGTCAATCATCATTCTGTGACTAATGATCCATCATCATCTGTCAATCATCATACTGTGACTAATAATCCATCATCATCTGTCAATCATTAACAGGAAAATTCATAGAACCTCTTAAAAGTTATCGTTTCACACTGAAGGATTAAGCCAGTTTTCCAAGGTATTCATAATATTTTTATTCTTCATAGGAACTTCAAGCATCTACATCCTAATTCGATCTAGAAAGAGCCTAAATGAAAATTACTTTGTGTAATTCCAGTTACCCTACCAAATTGTGTAGTTTTTTTAATTATTTTATTTTTTTGTAGTTGAACCTCTCTGAACACACCTAGTCAGAATAAAAGCTGACAAATACTAACCATGGGCTACCTGTGTTATTTGTAAACAAAACCTATTACAAGTCTCTATAATCGTTACTTTTCTAAAAGAAGGTACATTTGATAAGAGATAAACTTCAAGAGCTTCCCGTATAACGGGTGTTAAACACATAGGGTTTCAATAATATTAATACAATAAACTAAAAATGTATTGTAAGCAAATAAATCATGAATGGTTAAGAAACTGTTTCGCTGGCAAGCAGACATTTTTCTTGAAAATAATCTCATCTCTGAATACGCTGCCTCCAAACGGATTAAAAACCAACCTTTGAAAACCAAATCTGTTGTATACATTCTGAACTTAAAAATCTTAACTAAAAGAAATTGTTGTTTGAGAGTAAGAAAAAGTCTTTTTAGGTTACTTTAGGTGACTTTTTGAAAACTAGTAAGCTCATCTATCATGAATGAATCCTAAATATCGAAAATAAACTTTTGGAAAACTAAAACTTTYGTATACACAATTTGAAGAATAAAACGAAACTTTTTGTTTGAGAGGCAGGACTGAAACTGTTTTTGGTTATATTAAAGCGTATGGTTAAAGGTATGATTGTGTCGTGTGTGACAATAACCGCACGATTTTCAACAATTTCTTTCATACGTTTAATTGAAGTCATGAGTCACCTACAGGTGTTGTTGGCAAACTTAAGCAAAAAGAAAAGAAAAACCGCTTGTTATTTATTTATTGGCCAAATAATCAAAGCTGTGCTTTCTTTATGAACCAACTTAAGCCGCAGGATAAGTCTTTAAGTTCTTATAAAAGGAGTTTCTGACTTTGTTTTTAATATTGTTTTAAATGTAAAACACAAGGAACTAACTTCTCTAATGAAACTTACTTTGCTTTTCGGTTTAACGATATAAGTTTCGACTTTCTTTAGCGTGCTTTAAGTTTTACAAAGTTTCTACAAAAGTTCTTTCGTGAGCAAGCTCTTTTTTTGAGTGAATTCTATCAGTTGTCGAGCAATATATGACTTCATGTTAGTTCCACGCCGAAGCAAGTCATTATCGCTTCTGAAAGACAAAAGCTGGGGTTCGGCTATTGTTTTCGTTAGCAGACCCTTGGACAATAAATAACATAATAGGCTCAACAAACAATGTATTGGAGTCGGGTTGTTCGAATGAGCTATTCAAGTGAGTCAGAGTTAACGTAGGTCACGTCTGAGACTTCTTGTCAAATCTTTTAGTTCTGGGCGTCTATCACAAGAAAACACAACGTAGTTATTTTGCTGGGTGTAAAGCTGTTAGTTAACTCAGCGAACTGACACGTCAACACGTGTAAAGCTGTTTATAATTATAAATGATAGTTTGAACAAAAAGCTCAGTGAAAATTAAATCAATTTGAGATAAAAAGCCGAAGCAATATCAAAAGAAAAGATAAAAATCTCAAGACAGATAAGCTTTTTGGGACGATTTTTTTTGGGTATTCACAACATTCAAAGTCCCGAGAATGCTGAAAAAGAACTTTTCTCAAGAACACAGTAAAACAAGGAAACAATCTTTGTGTGGTTTTTCATCACTATTGTATTTAAAAAAAGAATACAAAAAACTTAAATTATTCTAGCTTTAGTCTTAAAATACTTTATATTCTCTTAAGAAAATTGTAGTAAAAATACCATCTGAATTAAACTTATAACATTTACTTGAAGTTTACAGAGAAAAAGTTGGTACAAACTTATGTGTATAACTGCACAACCAGGGCATTTTTATTTCGAGATTTTCAACCGTTTTAGGGAGGTTTTCTTTGTCTTCAAACAATACTGAGCCTCGCTTTGGGCTCTAATTAGTAAAAACAAAAAAAGATTTGAAGTGATTTCCGATGTAGCATATTTTTTATTGGTCCAAGGCACCGGTCACTATTAGTTAGCTCTAACAAACACGCGACCAAGTTCGAGTTTCTCTAAACACTAAAATGTACTAAAGAACACAATTTTATAGCTCACGATCTAGCACATAGGTGTGGACGCATCAAAACGCATCGACTAGACAACTACAAGGGTGGGTTTTTGGGAATGGTGTCTTTATAGACTTGAACGCTCGCATAGTCGGGACAATAGGTGCAAGTGAGTAAGTCACAGCCCGGCGAAGACTTTGTTTACAGAGCACGCGCAAACTACGCTCTGTGTCAATATCAGGATCACGGCTTTGTTATGATAAGAAGCGGCACTGTAGTAGCACGCGTGCAACGCTACAGATTACTTACCCTGTACAAAAGAACGCAGCCGAGCGCAGACTAGGTAACTAACAAAGTGCGGGAAAAACGTCGTTCATTTCAGCTGTGGACCATCATTTAGTCAACATGACAAAAGCAGACGAAGTCATCACTTGTGAAACAACCGAACTTTGTAGAGTAGAATGCGAAGAGAAAGAAAAGGAACAAAACGAGAGTTCTAGATATCGCAAATGGGCTCTACTAGACAGGAGCAGAAGGCTTAAAGCCAGCGCACGGGAGAGAAAACGAAGACATGTGCTAAACAACGCTCTAGAGTTGTTGAGAAAGAAAGTACCATGCGTAGATCAAAATCCACAGAAACTTTCTAAGATCGAGGTTTTAAGACTCGCCATCGACTACATAGCTATGYTAAGCTGTTACCTCAATAATTCACCGGCAGCTGGTTGCATTGGACAACCAGATATGGCGACAATAACAGGCTCACAAGCTGCTTCTATGTTTTTTGGCGATCAAGCGACGAGCTTTACTAGCGCAACGAGTGGATTTTTTACGACCATACCCAAGACGGAACCCGGCACCAGTTCTGCTTTGGATGAGTGTACTAAAAAAGTAAGTTGACTTAAAACTGTAATAACTTGAGCAATACTAATTAAAGTTAATGATACGAAAACAAGTCTTTTTTCTTTATTGTTTATCTGATGGTAAAACAGAATTACTGTTAACAGCTGCTCATAGCTGAGCATTTTTATCTTATAGTTAAAGCACAAGTCACTAAAACCAAAACAGTTGCTGTTACAGATGTTCAGGCTTAACCAAAGTGTCAAAGCTCGCACGTGGGACACTTTGATCCTTAAAAAAAGTCTAACATGTATTTTTGTTTTCTGTTTCTTTTTACAGGTAGCTGAACACTATGGCATTCAAAGATCAGAGCTCGACGTTTATCTGAGGGGATACCAAGAACAATGCTGAAAATAAGACTCAAAACATCCTATACTTGGAAAACAAGAATTAACTGAACTTCGAAGAACTAATATTCGTATCAGTAGATGACCGATTTGTACTTTACTGTAAATATTTCGATTCTAAAGAAAGCGTAATTACTTTCGATGCAAGATCAAGGCTTATCAATATCCTGCTATAAGGTATATATGCAGAAAAACGTGCATATAGAATGAATAATTTAAAAGAAAAATGTATTTATAATAATTAACTTGTAAGAACGATTAGATTTTGTTTATAAACGTTTTTTACTTCGTATATAACTTCCATTCATCCCACATTGGGAGACAAACGCCTCGCGAAATAATAAGCTTAGGTTGAGAAATGTCTGTAAAGACGCCCAAAGATTAACTCGTTGTACAGTTAAATATTACAATATATATGAAACGAATAAAACTATTGTGGATAATAACTTCAAAGCAGTGCTGTTTCTTTTTCTGTTAAGCTTCACTTTCGGTTTGTTTTGCGAAAGTTTGTCGTTATAACAATAGAGCTATACTCTTTTTTCAAATAATTTATTCCTTTTTGGTTGTTTACACTGATATATAAGTTCTGCTACTCTAAGCTATATAATACAAGGTTTAAAACTTGTGGTTTTTAGATAAAGTACTCTATGCTAATGATTCATCGATTTTTCACCAAGAAGTAAAAAAGTTGTCGAGTTAGGCGTCCAAAGGTTGTCAACGGTCAATCTTAAGTTACTATCAATCAATATTTAGTGTTTCMAWAAWACGMAAMAARAAATAAAGTAGTGAAGAAAAAAAAAAAAAAAARAAAARAAATCTTTAGAAAACACTAAAACGTACGTTTTCATCCGCCTCGAATTTTAAAACAAGCTAAGAATCAAATTCAGTAATGCTAGATAAAATTAGGGCTTGTCTGCTGTTGGACGAATTATAGCGTCTGTTCTTGCCAAATAGTACTAGTGTCAATTACACCATGTGCAAGTCTAAACTTAGATTAATTTATACACCAGAAAGATCAAAAAAGATTCGCAATCAACTCGAAAACTGGGTAATCTCTTGAGATTTAAGGTGGTGGGCACCCCAAGGCGATATTTGTGAGCAAGAAAGCAATTTTTGAAAGCTCAAATAAACTTTTGATCTTAAAGTTTGACAACAAAGGAAAAAAACCTGCTTGTGAGTCAGTGGCAAATGATTCGTGCGATCACGGCCGATTTTCGATTTTCAGTTATACCTCGCGTGCTTTATTTAAAAAGCATGGCCTAAAATGCTGCAGATTAAGGTAAAATAATTTTAATTTGTTTTGATAGCCATTAGTCTTGTGAAGAGGGAAGTTTGGCTTTGTTTTTGGTAGAATGTCAACGGTTTTCTCGAGCACGTGGTCGAGTTTTGGCGGTCTTTCACAACACAATACATCGAGTTGTCATTCAGCTTTAATAATAATTACCCCCATTACCTTGTTGCTAAGCAACCGAGTCCAAAAATGCCGGTTTTAGTCCTGCGTATACACAAATGTACTAGTGATAACAAAGCAATAGTTGTAAAAGCAGTTCTAAGGACAGTATGGATCTATACACCCGCTAAATAAGAACGGAAAAAAAAAAGAAAGAAGAGTCAAAAAGAAAGCAACATTTTATAATATATGTATGTTCCCATATAGTAGGCAATTAACAGCTAATGATATGTAGACCTGTACAGACTTGCCCTAATGAGATTCTATTGGTGAAAGGCTTGATACACGTGTCTAATGAATCTAGGCCCGAGTTGAACAAAAAGCTTCGACACTTCCAAACGAATAGGCACAAATTAGTTCTAAGATTCAGTTCTAACTAAAGAAATTAGTGAGAGTTCACAAGAAAGATACCTTGGGGTAAACTACGCAAAAAGATAGAAAAGTTAAATTGAAACTTAAAACACAAGTCGCTTTAAATGAAAATGTGGGAAGGTTTATGAGAATACAGTTGAAGTGCATTGAATAGTTGTTTAATGAATAGAAAATGCAATAAACAGTTAATAAATCTCCCAGGTTTTTTTTTGAAAAGGTTTCATAACAATAAACAGAAAAAGAAAGGATTAAAAATCTTCAGTCCTCGAATGGAATTTTCATTTTAACAAATCAAAATAGGTAGAAAAAATACATTGCAACTTTACAGAAAACAAAACAAAAGAGAARAACTACAAAAACTACAAAACATCGTTTTTAAAAAAAAAAATTTGGAAGGAAGTTTTTTCTCGAAAGCTTGCACATGATAAAGCTTGGGCACTTGGTCATCAGTACTGAGTTTTTAGCAAGTGGTTCATATTTTGATAAAAGCCAAGCTTTTGAAAAACAAACAAAGTAAATAATAATAGGTGAAGGTTTTAGAATAACCTGATGCATTTGAGTCTACAATATTAACTATTCAAATACTTGGTAAAAATTTAATGGTTATTGAATTTAAGAGCRGAGGAAAAGAAGCCAATTACGACAGTAAGTGCTCCATAAACATTTAAGATCAGTTTGAATAAGTTAAAAACACCGAAGTTTTTATTTTAATAGTATAGTCAAAAAATCATCTGGGATAGAAATTCAAACGCGCGCGAAAAAAATAAACATTTAAGAGTAGAGAAATCATATACATCTAATTGAGCTGATCTGCGCAGTATAGTAGAGAAATCAGTTTTATTAGTTGGCAAAAGTGCCCAAAAACCAATTTTGAAAAGTGGGTTAAGCTTCCTGGAAAAGCAGTAACATCAGGGTATGCCTATCGCTGCTGTCACCCTTTCTTTTTACGTGTCCTTTTCTTGCTTTTTCTTTCGAGTAAAGTTATTTAAGAAGTTACTATCCTGTTGTGCAGTACAATTTTGCGTGATGAAGATTTCGCAACCCAATATCTCGCCATGTTGAGTGGTTTCCGTCTTGGTTAATTAACCATACTAATAGACGGGCTGCACGCAGGCTACAGTCAATGGAAATCCCTATGACTAGGTTAATCTTACCCAATCAAAACACGCGATTGTGACACTGGAAATTAAGCCACACGAATGACTCACTCAGTCTTGCGACATCAGAGTCACATCCTGTCAGGCTTTCACGCATTTCTAGCGGTCCCTTGCTCCCTCGACCTGCGGTTAATTAGCAGCATTAATTGCTTCTAGGCGTTTGTTTCTCACTCAAAAAAGCTAGTTGCTATTTTTAATGTTGCCACTCCAAATTGAACTGCATTGGAAATAATTTGCGTGGAGTCTTTATAATTATATATTTTGACCAGTTCTGCCAAGTGCATTTCTTTATAGCTTCAATACCCAGCAAAAAAGGCGCGAAAATAAGAGTCATTAAGCAACGACTGTCAACTATGATGAATGAAAACCGTACCACCGAACATCAATGAAATTCCTTACTAATTATAATATTGAGGTATCTTCAAGTTTAGGCGGGAAACCATTATGAATTGAATACACCACCCGTTTATGAGCATAAGTGATCAACGCGAGTCAGGGCTTCTGAGCAGGTAGCGTTGTCAACCCACGAGGAATTAAGATTCGGCGGGAAAGCCAATACAATGTTGAAATCGAGAAAAAAAAGCTTTGAACTTATTTTTTTAAAAGGTTAGTTCTGAATTAAAAGCAGTTTATTTTGAAAGAGAATTTTAGGTTCTTATCCGTGTAGATTGATACTGGGGACCCTAGAGTTAACATCGTCAGGAGAGTGTATTTTGGTAGTTTGAACAAAAAGACGTCGATCCCATAAAGGGCAGGTATTTTTAACAGGACAAGAAAGGGTGGATTAGTGAATGGCTTACACCCGTGGGAAGTAGAATTAGGTTTTGTTTTAGATACAATATGCTTCAAGCACCGTGAAAATTCGTCTTCTGAGTAAAACAAAACCATGGCCAACCCGAAAAAAAGTTTCGTTACTTTGTCTTCAAATGGATTTCTATATTTTCTAATTCAAAAATTTGAAGTTAAGACTTAAAAGGAAGCGAAAAAATGAAGAGGATAAATATGAAGTTGTTTTTAAAAGTTGAAAATGATGCTCGTGCTCGCGACAAAGCTGCACTACAATGAAGTGGCTTTTTAAGCATTCTTTCCAGGGCGCGCGCGTCAGCAAAAAATAACAGGGAAAGCAAGCTAAAATTACTATAGATATTATACAAAATAATACAACCTACGAATGAAGTTAAACTTAGCGCAGAAAAAAGAAAGAAAAAATACACCCACAACATTGATTAAGTTGAAACAAGGATGAAATCGAACAGACAGCAGAAAAAAAGAAGAAAATTAACCCATGCAACGTCGATGATATACAGAAACACGATGCTTTAAGATAAGTCATTCCATTAGACACTACTAGAAGGGCTTCCGGGATCACGCGCCTACGAAGACTCTGATCTTAAGTTTTCAGTTGAAGTTCATGTTAAAAAAATGAAGCCACCTGTTGCGAAAAGCCCACCCTGGAACAGCTGTTTGACTGATTGAAGCTCAATATTGGATTTAAAAAACTGACAAACAACTATTTAACTATTTACAAACAACTTTACTTTTTAGCGACATCTTATTGAATAAATTTTATAGGCTCCTTACTTCATCTCGAAAAGATTTTATAGATACGGATAGAAAAGCCTTGCAGCACTGATATTGGCATTTATCATTCTTCTCCCTACTTATTTTGCCTCTAACTTTAATTACCTAGTCCTGACATGACTTTGAGTTCAAATAAAATCAGTTTACATCAATGTCTTTCCGTTTAAAGCGATAACATATCGATTAAACACTTTGTCTTTGATTTAAGTCCAGACGCTCAGCTGCCCCTGTCATTCGTGTTTACACTGGTGCACGATTGACGTCATTATGACGTAGGAGGACAGAGTCACATGCTGCTTGCCTCAAGCATGGATCGATCTTACTATTTCTCTTTTGTTCGTTAAAATAAAAACGCGAACAAACGATTGTGTATCCAATTCAATTTAATATTTTATTCCTTACGACTTTTACTCATAGAGATTAAAAACCATATTTTTGTTTTGAAACGTTTGAAAATTGAGTTTGAATAACTTTCCTTAAGTTTTGACATACAAATGGTAGATAATTGATGCAATGTGTACACTATGTACTGGAGTCGGTTGAAGAACATAACTAAAAACCTATGTACCAATTTATATTATATAATATATGAACATATGATAAGGTAGACGGCTTGATAAGTAGGTCAGCTGCTGAGCAGTCGTTCACTCGACTATCAGGCAGTGACTTGTGCCTTTCGATACGAGTTGCTATTTTTCTCAAGCTGAAAGACTACGAGCAATCAATCAGCCACCATGATTCATTTTCAAATAGCTGCAAAATCGCTAAATCGTCTTACTTTATTATGTATAACTCAGCCAAATAACTTCGTACATGAAAGCGTTTTATTCCAGTTTCGGCAGCTCAAAATAATTTCAAATTTGTCATAGTCAACCTCCTTAAACATTTCCCAAACACTGTTTACTCCGTGAAGCTTGGAGTTCATAAAACTCGCGCCAAAAACATTCTTAAAGAGGCGGGGCTGGTTTCAAATAAAAACACTTCAGCGGCGACCGGTTGGTGGATTTGCGTACGGGTGTCATCTTGTCATGGCTACGAGTAATTCACTATCGAAGTCATTTAGTGAAATAAAGAAATATAGTTTGGCGGTAAACTGGTATTTTTACAACACACTAAACCACAAGAAATAGAGAATAAGAGAAAAATACACTACCCAGCTTTAATTTACGAATGACATTGAAAACAAAAGAGCTTTAAACACTCCATATATCATGTGATGCTAATAAATGTCATCGATTTTTGGCGGTAAACTGGTAGTTTTACAACACACTAAACCACAAGAAAGAGAACAGAGTAGAATACATTGCTGTTTTGTTTTACGAATGACAATGAAATGAGAAGATCTTAGTAAACATTTTATGATACTCACAGAACTAAGTCATTGATTTTCGGCGGCAAACTGGTACTTTTACCACAAGAAATGAAGAACATTAAAAAGGAAAAATAWAAAAAAAAMMMMAAAAAAAACGACTTAATTATTGATGACGATACAAAAGAATTACATTTTAGTAAAAAAAAATTTTTTTCAAGCGTGTAGAAATTTCAGTGTCGAATTCAGTGTCAGCGTTTCTTTAAGCCAAAATGTCACTTCTCTGATCTTCAAAGTCAGTACTAAAGTCAAAGATAATTTGTTTTTCGAAGTTATAGGAATACAAAGCCATTCTGGTTTTTTTCCAAGATATTAATGATGCTAGTCAAAAGCGAAATTTGGCGGTAAATCGTTAAACTTTTCTCGGCTCAGAAAAAACTGCCGAATGCTAAACCACTCGATTCAGTCTCAGAAAATTAACTCATGTTATGGATGTTCATAAGTTTAAAACAGAATCAGTAGGCTTTTWAAAGTAATGCAGTCCGTCCCAAACCACTGTTTTTTTCCATTAAGAATATTTTGTATTAAAAAAGAGCAGCTGAGATATCGTTAATTATAAACCAGATAACATCGAAATCTCATGAGAGTTATTCCTTACCAAACAAATCGATCAACAGCTGTGTAATAAAGATCAATGAAGAATAGAATTATTCAACTGGCCACCAGTTTGTATCTCTGTTCATCACGTACACCCGACAAAGGGGTCTTATTATATCTTTGCATGTGGGAGTGTCAGGACGGTACTGAGTTGATTGATACACTCGCTAAATAATGGTGACCAACTGTAAGTCGAACTCTCGAAGCGGAATAAGAATATTTAACTAACTTGCATCGTCGAAGCGCAATGTGGCCAGACAGGTGAAAACGTACTGCGCATGCTCCGTAATCCAGCGGGAAAAAATCCGAACCCAAATCGCATTCCCGAAGGCTGCGTTTTTATTGGCCTTTTCGAGGCTGCGCGGAAAACTGGTAACGTCCCGTCGCACACCGCTTTACCGACGCTTTTTGAAGTAACAGAGTTTTAGATTGACTTCTTTTCTCCCCGCAAACGGCAAACGTGACCACGCTTTTTTATCGTTTTCCTGTATTTAACTTCATCTTTTGCAAACTTTCTTAACACAAAAATATTTTTTTTGCAATTCCTTTTCAGTAATTTAAAATAAYTTTTTACTGGTCAACTGACGTTTCACGTTTGCCGTGAACGTAAATCTAAAACTCTCTATTAACGAGGTTCTACTGTATTGATATCAAAAACACAGACGATTTATAAATGCGTCGTAAAGGGTAGGCCATTATTGTTAATATTGCAATATTGCATTATTGTTAATCTTTCCATGATTACATTACTCTTGACACAATTTCAGCACAGACATTTTCTAAAGGCCGGTTTAGACGGTACGATTTTCGCCTACAACTATCGTAGCGTAAAGAGTCGTAGCGTGTAAATCAAGCCTACAATTCGCCTACGACAGATGCAAGCGCGTTGTATACGATAGTTGTAGGCGAAAATCGTACCGTTTAAACCGGCCTTAAGAGGAAAGGATTTCAAAATGTCGATTAATTTGTTTTCATAGGAAACTCGCCTATGTCGACAACTGAAGGGTTCCATCAACATTTTCAAAGCATGCGCGGTATGCTTTTCACACGTGTGTTGTGCATGGCAAAACGATACGTAGCAACCGAGTTTGCGTACTTTTTCCCGCCCATTTCCCGAGCATGCGCAGACCACTTAAAAACTATCCTTAACACACAGAAAGACAGGAGGCCGTGATCRATGAACGAATTGTACATAAAATAAATGAAAAATCATTACCCACCGCTAGTATTTTTCGCTTTTTTGACAAATTTTCATATCGTTTTCAATATAAACGCATTTATTGGATAATTTTGGAATGGACAAGCAGATGTAACGCATTATATATAGGTCATGTTGTGGACCATTTTCATTGGCTAACCAACTGTGACGTAAACAGTGTAAATCACCTGGTGCTAGCTGACATCATTGGTATATGGAATATCTTTTGGCCCATTCTCATTGGACAACGAAGTAAGACGTCATATTTATAGATCACGTGATGCCAGCAGCTGCCATCATTGGTGGTAAATGAAACTCTTTGTTGTCAAAGATGAGTGGTCGACGCGACGGTATTCCTGGCTTGGTCGGCTTACGAAGAGTCAAGGATATATATAAAGTACATGATAGATGCTTATATATTAATCATTGAAGAAAAGGTATGACCGCATGACATGACATGCACGGATTCTGTACGTTAAACCGACACATTTCGATGCGAAGCTGGCTGGTTTTACCAAATGAGGCGTGCAAACGCTCTTTTGGTAGCAGAAACCTTGTGAATAGAAGTGAACRCATTAAATGCGATCATACTTTTGCGCTTTGCGCTGTAAAAAGCGCAAACAATTTGTACAAGTTTGGTCAGGTATCAAGGGAATAGAACTCAAAAATTTTACAGTGGGGGGTGGGGTGGAGGGGCATGTGAAACAGAGGTATATTTTAATGCATGGAGATGACGTATGTTTCCAAAAAATGCCGCAAAATTGGCACCAAGTTAGTCGAACTTCAGTATGGTCGATTGTGATCAGAAGACCATACTGTTCTTAAATCACCATAAAAACAATAAGTGCGCGACCGATATTTGCATATAAATGTCTCCAGATAGTATGGGTGTTTAGTGATAAACCTCGGCTCAAGAAAAGCCTTTATGAGAATATAAAAAGGATATTTGTGTAAAAGTTTGAATATTCCCGTTCCAACGTTCATCGGCATACCCATAATTATGCACTCGCTGACTCCTGTAGAAAAAAGTAATAATAATAATAATAATAATTTTTT